TCCAAACGATTATTGCCCGACGAGAGCTACATTCCGAAAGTAATTTTTTGCTTTAACTTTTATTAAAATGTAACTATTAACTTTGCAATAGATGTTCAGTTGGCAAGGCCTCATCTTAATTAATTCTTTATATAAATTTAAAAAAATAATGTTAAAGAACATAACCTTGAGTGAATTTTTAATTAAGCAAGCATTGGATCAAATAATACCTACCCTCGCCGGGGTCTCTTGGACTCGCCTTGGTGATCTTCTCGATGTCAAGAGGTCTCGGGATCTTGAAGTGGGGGTCATACCTGGACTATACTCTGGATTAGCGGCTTGTGAAAATAATGCCCTGGATGGTAACAGTATATTATTTATACACAAAAATCATAGGCCCTAAATAATATACGTGCTTGATTAAATGGTTTCTAGCATACAAAGTGACCATTTTAACTTTACCCCCCCTCTAGAACATAGCCTGGTGGTCCAAGGTGAGTGAAATGGATATCCCTTAGGTAAAATTGGCTGCTGAATCTGATAGTGCAACTTAAATTAGTGTAGGATCAACCGTCTTCAAGATAGAAAAATTATTTCCTCTGCAAAAATTTGTTGGTTGGATTCGATGCAATATTTGGCTTGTCCGATGATTTTTACATGGATTGACACTCTGTAGGATTATTTACTACTCGATTATGTACCGAAAAAGTAAAAGTATTGATGTCAATCATTCAAACGTTCGCCTTGATCAGTGACTTTTCGTTCACGAAGTAACTTGAGTCACTAATGCTAACTTCGCTCACAATGGCAGCATGTTGTTTACATTGCGTCAAAAATTGTTGTTTGATGGTTAAGAGAGTAACTGTGCTACGTTTCAGAGAACTGTCTTACTTAAAGTAGTGTCTACGTATAACAGCCCCCTAGAAAGGTACAGTACTTTACTCTCTCCGGATGAAATTGTATGTCACGCACTTATGGTGGATAAGTAAGGTAGGCTCTAGATTTCAAGTGTCTTGCAGTCCAAGACAAAGCCAAGGAAGTCAAACTGACGATCTGAGCGATTATTACTTTCTTTATTTGAGCGTATAAAATTTTTCGTACTGCTGCGCGGATTAAAGGGTAGCTTTGCTCCGTATAGCGGGAACCTGCATTTTTTGCTCCCCCGGTGCGAAAAGCATCGCTCTCTACTCAGACACCAACGTACATACCAGAACCGCATTCGCGTCCATCGATTACGCTAGTCCTAATTTATGCCCTAGTGGCAAAATATAATATTTCTGCGTTTTGTGTATTTTTAGAATAAATTTTTTTTTTCTTACTTTTTTATTTATCCAAACTATTATTCTAAAAATCAAGAAAAAAATTTATTTCAATGAGTTAATTGAGTAGAACTAACATTTTCTTAACAAGGGATTTATAATTTCTCTCCTGTGGTAAAATACATTACATATTTATTAAAGTGCTTTATTATCGTAAACGTATTTCTAATCTTTTATTTATCTTGACTTCTCGTGCAGGAACATACGCCGCTCCTTTCTCACCCTGTTCACAAGCACGTTGGGATAGTGTAGAGATGCCCGCCACCCCCTTCCTGACTTTGATCACGACGCTAGAGTATAGAAGTTTCTGCCGCCCTCCCTGCTTCTTACCACGTTATGATGATGCAGTGCAGAATTTTATAAATTGTCTTCTAATTTTTTTTAAACACTATTTAATTATATTATAATTTGTAATGAGTTACTTTTACTGAAAATTTTTTCTTTCACAGTTCCACGTCACACCTCCAGCTCTAGACCTGTTGTAGCTATGCAAAAGTGAACGCTGCTACTTCTCCTCCTCGGCCAAAACTCCTTGCAGCATTGCTCCCGTGCATGTTACCAATTCCAGCTCTGTACCCATTGTGGCAGCGCAGACGTACAAGCTAACTGCCCCCCCCCCAGCCCCCGACAACGAAGTCTGAAGGTCGTAGGTGATTGGAATTTGCACCCCTACGTCGTGGTAGTGCAAGAATGTCCACCATCCTTTCTGGTCCTGATCAAGTTACGACGTTGCACGACGTCTGCCACCCTCTCTGGTACTAGCAACGGAGCGTTGATACAGGAGTTCCCACGGCTCTCTCTGGTCCTTATCAAATAACGGGAGGGCAGGAGTATTCGACGCCTTTCCTGTTTTTGGGGACATGGCATTATCGCGCACCACCCACTTCTTGCCTCAGTAATTAATTTGATATTCCGGGATAAAAAGACTTGTTAGAGTCATTGTAAAGTTTTGTAATAAAAATTTGTAAATGATAAACATAATTTTTATTGAATGAGTCATAAAATTAGTCTAAAAAAAAATTTCAAAACAAGTTTTAAAATAAGTCTCAAAACAAGTCTTAAAATGATTCTCAAAATAAGTCTCACAATGAGCCTTGAGACAAGTCTCAAAACAAGTCTTAAAATGAGTCTCAAAACAAGTCTTACAATAAATCTCAAGACGAGTCTGAAAACAAGTCTTAAAATGAGTCTCTAAACAGGTCTCAAAATGAGTCTCAGAAAGGGTATCAAAACAGGTATCAAAACAGGTCTCAAATCAAGTCTTAAAAAAGGTCTCAAAACATATCTTAAAACGAGTACCAAAACGGGTCTTGAAAAATATCTCAAAATGGGTCTCAAAGTAAGTATCAAAACGGGTATCAAAACAGGTCTCAAATCGAGTCCCACAATGGGTCTCAAAACGTATCTTGAAATAAGTCTCAAAAAGTCTTAAAACATATACCAAACAAGGTCTCAAAGCAGATCTCAGAATAAGTATTGAAACGGGTCTCAAAACAAGTTTCAAAATAATTCTCAAAACAAGTCTCAAACAAGTCTCAATACAAGTTTCAACATAAATGATATGCCGAGCGATGAAAATCTTGTTTTGGCTTCTTGATCATCAAGAAACTCTAAGCGGGCTTTTCAGTCGTCAAAAAACCCTTGGCGGGCTTCTTGATCGTCAAGAATAACTCGGCGATCGTCTCGATCATCGAGAAACACTCGGAGGGCTTCCTTATCAACGAGAAACACTCGGAGGGCTTCACGATCGTCAAAGAATTCTGTGAAGGCTTCTCGATCGTCGAGAAACGCTCAGGGAGCTTCTCGATCATTGAAAAACACTCGAAGGGTTTCTCGATCGTCGAGAAATGCTTGGAAGGCTTCCTGATCGTGAAGAAACGCTCGGAGGGCTTCTCGATTGGCATGTGACATTTGGAGGGCTTATCGATCGTCAAAGGATTCTCAATCGTCGATAAGCAATTGGATGGTTTCTTGATTGTAGGTGAAGTAAGATGAAAAACTATTGGTAACGTATTTTAGATGGATACAAATAGGTTTTAGTTCCTACTAATCCTAGAAAAGCAAATCTCAATCCTTGACATTATACAATGTTTTTGGTGTTAAAACTTTACCAATACTTTTTTCTAAATAGCATGTTTTTTACCTCGCCGAATGTAGTAACTTAAAAATATTTTTCTATATGTATATTATAATTTCTATTTTATTATTATCAACAATAAGAAAACTTTAATGTTTGACAATATTAATGCCTTAACAACGATGATTCTTTTCCTGGCTTTCGTATGTAACTTCACGATAAACAACTGATCTGGCATTCTGCAGCTTATTTTTCACGCATTTTCAAAATGCCTAGAGAATTGTTAGATTGATTAAACATACATTGATATGAATCGTATAGTGCCTCGTAATAGGATGTTGGAGTGTATTTTTGAAACACGTATGAACGGTGAAAATAATTTCCGAGCAGCAATGCGCTTATTTGTAGCGAGGTATCCAAACGATTATTGCCCGACGAGAGCTACATTCCGAAAGTAATTTTTTGCTTTAACTTTTATTAAAATGTAACTATTAACTTTGCAATAGATGTTCAGTTGGCAAGGCCTCATCTTAATTAATTCTTTATATAAATTTAAAAAAATAATGTTAAAGAACATAACCTTGAGTGAATTTTTAATTAAGCAAGCATTGGATCAAATAATACATGAATATTGAATATATGATAATAATGACGGTATAATGTACTTTATGTATTTTGTCAGAATACCAATATTATAGAATTAAACAAATTGATATCATACAAATACTGTTTAAAAGAAAATAAAGAACACTTCGTTTTTGTAATACGCTTGGCAGGTTTTTCGACACAAAAATACCATTGATTGATATTCATAATAACTGAATTCGTTTATGATTATTTTATTTAATAATAGCATTCTGAGGACTTACAACGAGCATGGAGTTGTTTATCCACCCTGAAGACCAAGGCGCAGACCGGTGAGAAATGGTCCACTGAGGGAAATCGTGAATCAAGAGTTTACACGTGAATCGCGACAAAGTGCCAGAGGAGTTGGCAGGCGTCACAGTAAGAATTCGTGATTCATTTTTTATATTCATGAAAATATACTTCTATTATAGAAACAGGCCACTAGGCACTCACGTCGTGTTTGCACACTAAAAATTGCTCAGTTAAAAGTCGCGCGAAATGATTAATTGCATGCAGCCATTTAAGCCTATTAATTTACCATTATTTACTTATATTTATTTATTAATATTTTTCTATTGCACTCGGAAAATTTGGCTAGTTTTTAAAAAGTGCATCTAGCCAGCACGGTCACTGGGCCCTCGGTGCAAGAAATGTCGTAAAAAATGTCAATAGCCCCGGTGGCGATGGCGCTTACGTAACGAAAACTACCAATTCGCTTGTTGAGTTGAATAGAGTGCTTTTCAGCGGATAAACATGACACGCGCTCCTATTGTTCCGCTTTTAATGAAAATTTTAAGTGGTATTTTTTTATTAATTGTATAAGCATTAAATTTTTACGTGTACGTATTATCCTTACTATGATTTAAATAATTAAAAATTATATATGCTCCTCGTGAAACTACACGGTTAATCGTTAAGGAAGCGAGGCACCCGTACAAGTATAGGAAAGTTTAAAAACTGCATGAGAACGATGGAGACCGAAGATTGTTATACGCTTGATGGTTGTCAAGAAGACTAAGGTGAGAACCAAATTTTTGTAGTCGCATTTGTTGGACGGATGAATCAACTTTCACACAGCAAGGTATTTTGATCTCGCAAAATAAAAGGAACTGGGCCATTAAAGGTCAGCATCCTCATGATATCCATGAGGTTGAAAATCAACGTCGCTGGAGAGTCAACGTTTGGGCTGGAATAGTTGGTGATCGGATTATTGGTCCTCATTTTTTTGAAGGAAATTTGAATGGCAGAATGTATGGGCAGTTTCTTGTTCATGACCTTCCGAATTTGTTGCGTGGCACTCCTGTACCTGTGGCAGAAATGTGGTGGCAGCAAGATGGCTGCCCAGCGCATAATAGTGCACTCACCACAGATCAATTGAATGACATTTTCCCACGTCACTGGATAGGAACAAATGGACCTCGTGCATGGCCTCCAACAAGTCCAGATTCAACACCCTTAGATTTTTGGTTATGGGGTGTGTTGAAAGAACGATGCTACCAGACTCCCGCAACAACACCGGAAAACATGATCGAGAGGATACGACGGGAATGCACAGCAATAACTCCAGCTGAAATTCGCAGAGCTATTATAAATATCGACAAGAGGTTGCGATGTCTCATAGAGCACCACAGCAATAATTTTGAACAGTGCCTTTAAAGTTTAAAATTTTCTCATTAGTTTCTTTTGATTTTTGTTTTAATTTATCAATGCTTTCATTGTAAAAGTTTATGGCTAATACCGCTGTCAGTGGCTCAGAGAGTATAAGTTTCTATATTATATGATGTATGTAAACCCAATGCTACTTATTTCATTACTAATAAATTGTTATTTTGTTAAACTTTGAATATAGTAGTTTTTGTAACAAGTGCGTAAGGTACTATTTTATACGC